GACGTTGGCGATGACGCTGGCGGTGAGGACGGGGCCCATGTGTTAGCGGAGGTGGACGAAGGAGGAGGAGCCCTCGTATTGCTTGGAGGCATTCAGGTCACCACTTAGCCCCAGTCATGGGGCTGAGAAAAGAGCGGAGGGGAGGATTGTGATAAGGAGGAGGAAGAAGATCAGGAGGGTTACCGGTGGTGACAGGAGATCAGGAGGTTACCGACGGTGACTGGATCGAGGGGGCACGAGTGGATGGAGGGCATGGTTGGGGTTTGGGGTAGTTGATAGGTGGTTTGGTTGGTTTGTGGAGGGAGTTTGTCAGGGAGGGGCTAAATGCACCCAAAAATACGAGAAAGCAAATTTATGAAGTTGAAAACAAATGAATTATACGCTCCATAAGAGGTAAAGAAAAAGAATTATCCTCCGAAAAGAAAATGGAAAAAACAACAAAAAGGGGCAAAAAAAAGGCTTTTAGTTTTCTTTGAATCGGGTCGAATACTTATAAATCCAATATTATCTTCACCTGCTGATCCATTATAAGATCCATTTCTCCTCCCGCTGCCCGCGTGCACCGCACGTGCCCGCATGCTGACCATCGTGTTCTTTCTTGTGCTTCGAATTACGCGAAGACGCACCCATAATTTTCTTTTTAAAAAACAAATAAATAAATAAAAAAGAGAAAGGGAAAAGGAGAAAGAAGAATTAGGGCAAACAATTTGAGCGAGATTCGACGGTCTTCTCTCTCCTCAATGGCGCCCTCGATGCGGTCGATCAACATCAGAGACTCGGCACGAAAGATCGAGGTCGACAATCGAATCTCCATCCGCTACTACTCTCGGATCGCGGAGAATCTCCTGAGACAGGTGCCCGATCTCTCATCTCTCGCTTAAATTCGCATCTAAAGGCTCGATCTTGCTGTGATTTTGATGGCGGTGTTTGTGAATTTAGGGGTTTTGGTTAGGGTTCGAGGTGGGAGAGTAGCATCGCGTTGATCTGTAGTTCATTCATATTTTAAAAAAAAAATTCGACTTTGACGGTAGAGATTGATTATCTGATGACCTTTAAGAACCGCTGTAATGTCCTGGTGGTGAGAATAGAGAACTATAAGCTATATGGAGTCTTGCTCAACAAAAATATGTGAGGGGATAGATTTGAAGAAATATAGATGTGAAGAAATCAAATCGGTTAAACAAGCGAGCTCCGTTGGTTATGAAATATATAACTCAGAGGATGTCGAAGAATGCCAACTTTATTCTGTTGAAGGACAGATTCATCTCCTTGGTTTTATCCCTCGTTGGAGCCTTAATCAATGGAATGATGTAAGGTGGTGACAAATTTCAGTCTGCAGGACGAAAGGTTTGTGGGCCTAATGGAAAAAACCATGACATAAGGTTGTTATAATAGAGATGAGAGCACTGAGAAGTTTTGCGGTTAAGCAAAGGGGTAGGTACTGGGGAAAAATATTGATAGGCGGTACATGCCCATCGTGGCGCCAATGGGCTACTAATGTTGCTAGAGTAAAATAATTTGTTAAATATGACTCATTTTGCGTGATGGTAGCATCCAGGGGAGAAATGCTTTCACTTAGAGGTCTGGATTTTATTCGTGGGGGGAAGGGATAATAAATTCCAAATTTGGGCTTACCAGCAATAGCATGATGAAAATGTTGAAAATTATAGGTTAAAAAAGTTGTTTCTATGTATTTATTGTTCTTGTGGTATGTCAGCAGGGAGGGAGAAAGTCTGGATTTTATTTTGTCGGCGAAGGTATAATATAAATATCCAACTTGGAACAACCAGTTATAGTGTGATGAAAATGTTGAAAATTATGTTTCTATAGTCTCTTGTTCTTGTGAGACATCAGCTGGTAGAGCATACACGCTTCAAGTAGTGTGCCTCAAATAGCTCTTAGCTCGCATATTTTAGGTGTTTATTTTTCCACTAGCAAAATATGTAGATCATGAGAAACATCTTCAGAAAGTTAAAATAGTTTATTGTCTTTTCACTTTTCCCAATTTCTATTTTTGTACAAATTGGAATTTATCATGCTCTAGACTCGTGGTTGTTGTCAGCCTTAATTCTCTAAAATATAGTTCCCTGACATCTTTATATTTTACTTTAATCCAGTATTTTGCGACAATGGCATATAAATTGTATGTTTTTGTGGTGTATTTGGCCCTCAGGCAAGAATTTACCGCGAGGAGAAGAATCTCATTGATCTATACATCATACTTCTAAGATATTCAAGGTAAATTTGTTAGCCTCAGTCCACTTGCTTTGATTTCTGTATTTATTTTACTCCATGTGCGTAATTAACCTCTTTTCTTGTCGTCCAATGTTTTACAAGAGATAGACCAAACCTTCTCTAATTACTGGAAGTTAGTCTGAACCAGGATGTAGGCATACTAAATTATCATAAGAGGTCATGAATAAGTTTTGCATGCCTACACACTCCCCAGCTAATTCTTATTTTCTGCAGCTTGATGTGCGATACCATACCGTCGCATCGAGATTACCAAGCTTTGGTTCCAAAGGAAAAGACTGCCTTTAAGAAGGTATGAACAATAACCCATGGCTCTAAACTTTCTTTTTTCCTTTGTATGCTCCAAGTGCTTTCTTCCTCAGCATAACAAGAGAACAAGAGCATCTGCCTTTTTCTAATAGAATTATATAGAGTCCTCATGACCTTTAACACATCATTCTAGAAACTCTTGGATGTTATAAGTGAGCTAGAATCACTGAAGCCAATTGTTACACGTCAAGTTGAGGAGCTCAACAGAGAGATAGCCCAATCAGACGGTGGAGAAAGGGTTTCCTATAGCTCATCTCCTACTTGGAAGCAGATTCCTGGAACTCCATCAAGTGAGCAGGTATACTTTTTCCATTCCACATTTTTTTTGTTTTATGCTAATAGTCATTGAATGTTAAGGTTATTTGTTATGTCTTGATGTTCAGTTTCCAAACTAGTTACTGTTGTCTTGATGTCTTCTGTAGTTGTTTCAATTATTTATCATACTTCTACCATGGTTCATTGTCTCATACATTTTTGCTCTATAATTGCAGCAACCTACTAAAGCCTTGTCTCAGTCATTCCAAAAGCATAATAATGTAAGAAATCACGTGACGTCACCACAGAACTTGCAGTTGGACAGGCAGTTCCAGAAACTGTAAGTTTACGTTTTTGTACCTTGTTATCATCAGCAGATGCATATTGCTTGGTTCCTTTATATTTACAAGTGGAGATGCATAGTATGATACAATGATTGCCAGTAAACAAGGAGCAACTAACTGGAATGCATTATGTATTAAATAACCCAAAGTAATGTCCCTTTATTAGATTTATGGTTTTGTCTCGTATGAATTATTCAGTTTGAGAAAATAACCAAAACCATGCTATATTAGTAATAATCTATTCATTCTCTACCATCCTTACCTTCCACTTAGAATGTGTAAAGGCTTGCAGAAACATTGAATTATATCCAGGAGGTCATAATAATCGTCGAAAGTATTCATTCGTGTTCTGCAGTTAGATACGGTTTCATATTTTTTTATATATATATCTGTACTCAAATTTTTATTTTTTAATCACTCCACTTTCACGATGATCGCGATCTGTTTGGATAATTACTGAACCTATTATCTGCACACTATCCCTATTTTTGAATATTTGCATGTATTAGGTCTTCCTCGAACCATTTTAAATCATCAGAGAACGTGTACAAACCAGAATTGGCAAACTAATGTGCATGTACTGTGTAGGGTTTGAGCTTGAACTATTTGGCATCTTTCTGCTTTTCTTTATTCGGGTGAATTATATATCTTGAAGCATCTTCATTGAGATTACGATTCAGGAATAGTTACACACAATGCTTCTAAGTTATAGCTGTCAAATATTGTTTGTACGTATATTGGTTTGTAGTTGAAGGTACTGCGGGTCATAAGGACCTTAAAGGATTATTGAAACTCACCAGATTTTGTGATGGAGTCTATCAAAATAATCTCATGTCATCAGCTATTAGGACTATTTCTGATTTTTATTTCCAGTTTCTTTGGTTTTTCTTCGTGCGTTTGTTCTATTTTCTTTAGTAATTCTTGTTTTTGAATATTTTGAGAGAACCTTCAACTCTGCATCCGTAAATTTACATGGGTTCATAATATGATGTTAGCTTTTGGTTTGCTAGAGCTATTTTCTAACTTAAACTCCACACCTTGTCGACTTCAAGTACCAATATTTCTCGTCATTATTACATCAAGAAGAGAAGCAAACTTTGTTTGTAAAGTAAATATCACGCTTATATATATTCCAAACAGATAGGCCCCTAATCGAGAGCCTTTTTTGGTAATATTTGTCAAATAGCTGTAGTTATTTTTGTATAAAAGATGAACAAACACATATAGTTAGCAAGATTTTAGTGAGACTCAACTTTGATCTTAGGCTATGCCAGAACTTCCTTCATACCTTTTGCGACAATTTTTCCTGGAAATGGTTCGCCTGTTAACTAAAATAATTGGAAGCCACCAGTTATTGTTCGACCTCAATCAGCAATCTTTTGGACATGTTTCCTTCCTGTGTTCCCTCTTTTTTAAATTCAGTACTGTGTAGAGCTTCCCTCTTTCAGCTCTTGGAGTGGCTTCAATATCTCTTCAAGAGCTGCAAAATGATTTTCTGAGCTTTACCATGTCATATATCTTCCTGTGGACAATATTAGCCTCATGGAGTACCTTACCAACCTGATGGTGATATTTATTTATGTCTATAAACATGTTATGGTCTCAGTATAATTTTGGACTACACTGTATGAAGCTCAATGTCCTGCTTCTTTTGATTTCAGGCTGCAATAGCAATAAATCTGGTTCAATTGGCCATTTCAGAACCAGCAAGTCCCTCGTTTAGTCACAGACTCATAGCACTTGGCTATTTCTACTATTGCATTTATTAGTAGTCATTAAGTAAGTTGGACTTATCACCATGAGCCTTTTAGGAGGAAAACGAGTTCGAATAGTCTTTTGCCTTTTGTCTTGTCCCATTTACTTGTAAATCCCATCTTAATGACATGTCTTTAGCAGGTTCATATGCTATGTTGTTACTGCCTGAATCTGGGGGCATCTTTCTCTATTTGCTTTAAAGTATCCAGGGCATAGCTTTTATGTCTTTTCCTCAATTTTTCTACTGTTAACTTTTGTATCCTGATTTTTTTTCCCGTTAATAAATTAAGCTATTTGTATCTTGATAAGATATGATAAATACATAGCCTTTTACAGTGCAATTTACTTGAGATAAATTTTGCAGATCCCTCAGCTTACCTTATCCAAAGGAGGAAACACTATCAAGGCACTCTATTTTAGGCCCTACTGGGCTCCGCAGTCAGTGGACAGCACCTATTACCGGTATAAGGGTATAACTCCTGTTGTCAGTATGCTTTTTTTTGCTATGCAGTGACTGTATTTGGTTATTTACTCCTACCTTCTACAGGTCCAATATCCAAGCAATACTGACTTGGCCCACGTCGAGATCCCAGGGTGAGTAATACGGAACATTTAGAAGATGTTGCAAATGTTGGAAAATAGAGTGGCTGCATATCCATCAGTAGTTGTATTTAGGTGTATAACAGATCATGGCGTATTTAGTTTGTTGCATTTCTTTCTTTCACTTTCCAATAGCTTCACCGGATACTAAAAAGTTTGTATTATTTGCTGACATATAGTGTAAAGAAGGATGGTGATTATGGCACTCTTGCTACTGAAGAAGGTGATGCTAGAGGCACCACTTCTGATTTGGAGTCTGTCCTCTCCCTTGATGATGGCAGCATGGTCCATTGCCTGCTGAAAGAATCATGGCTTCTTTGCGGAGCGAATCTGACACAGGACAATTTTTCCCAGCTGAATATTAGACAACCTTCTAGTCCTCCGGTTCTTGCTCAGGTACAGCCACAGTTGCATCCATCAAAAGTTGCTGATCCAAGACCAGGACCGGCAAAAGTCCCAATGGATGGGATGCTTGATTCTAAAGAATATCAAAAACTGCACATTGTAAGCTCAGTTTCTGATCCTTTTAACGCATAGATGTGGAATATGAAATTCTTAGATACTGCAGCATTCGTAGAATAAGAAGTACATTGCTGTATTCTAGTTGCCTCTTGTATAATTTTGATGTATGCTTGATTCCAGAGGATATCAAAAACTGCACATTGTAAGCTCAGTTTTTTATCCTTGTGATGCATAGATGTGGAATATGAAATTATTACATTGCTGTTGTATTCTAGTTGGCTCTTGTATAATCTTGATGTAATACCTATTTTCTTTAATTGTTTTGCAGCCAGTGAAAATGATGGATTGTTTCTTGAGGCTGGCAGAGATGAACACCATGAAGAATCTGGAAACATGTGGGGTTCTTGCTGGTTCATTGGTAGGTTCTTTCAAGTACAAATGTTATGGCCAATTATTTTATCACTTGGGTTTCTGATGTTATCCAGCGGTTGTTAATGTAGAAAAACAGGATGTTTTACGTGACAACACTGATTATCCCTAAGCAGGAATCAACATCCGATTCAGTAAGTTGCTTTTCCTTGAACAGTAGTCTCATTCTTTCTTATATTCTTTTGATTCTTCTTTGTCATCATATTGCAGAGCGCCAGTCTTATGTTTATTGTAGATGTTGAGAAACTAGTTGTTTTATTCAATTTCAATTTTCAACAACTAGGCTGTATAAAAACCATTTTCAGTTTGGGATCTCTTTACTTCTAGAATGAGAACTCGTACTGGATAACTAACCAGATTTTCCCTCAAATGCTTTGATATTCTTGTGGATATTACTTCTCCTTGAGCAATTACTTGCATCACATCTAAAAGAAGCTTGTAGTTTGTCTGATTACTGCCTATGCATGCGTGCGCTGAGGCTGTGTCCTGATCCCAAGAGGGTCCTTTCGTCCTGATTCCTGCTTCCTTTTCCTTTCAGTTAGGAGAGCTATTTGTTTGTTTCCACATTCAAGGACACTTTGGGCTTACAAATTAGTTAGGTTGCAAGAACACACACCTCACAAAAACCTTACTGTTAAAATACTTTGCTACTGTACATGTACCATTCATCACGTTAGTATTTAGGCATTTAAAGTTGTATTTCATTGGCAAGTATTTCCTGTCTGAATAATTGTTTTTTTAACAGTGTCAAACAACAGATGAGGAAGAAATATTCAATGTTCAGGATCAACGTTCTCTTTTCCCGCTTGGATGGATTCATGTAAGTCAATAAAACATGCACTAAATATAAACGGTTACTGTTTATCAGTTTTATTATTATATCATATGCTTATTTGCTTACATTGAGTATCTTAAATGGATTTGATTCATTTAACCTACTTCATGAAAGTTTCTATATCCTAAATAGTTTTCTCGTTGTCATGCTTATGCCAATAAAAAATCAACCTAGCACCCAAGATTCATCTTGGCATTTCCAACAA